TATATATATATATACATACATATATATATTACGTAAAAATTCTTTTATAATATAGAAAATCATGAATATCATCTGAACAATGAAAATAATTCTTTTAGAGCACTATTTCGAAAATCAGTAAGACAACATGCCTTTGGCAATATCTCTTTGAAATCAATGTTTCAACATAACATAAAATAAAACGGACTCGCGTGTTTTACTAAAAACTGCTTCTTCCTGCAAGAAATGTAATGTTTAAACGTCAATCGTAAAATAATGCTGCTGCGCGGCATATTATATGCATCGACATTGCAAGAAAAGTGTCAATATATCGTAGGTATACAATGTATTCTATAAACAAATATAATAGCACTGTATAATATTTCGAATATTTTGGATTACTTCTCTCTTTTTCTCGCCTGAATTTAATTGATTCTTTTGTGCTCTTCCTTTTTATTAATTTCATGCTTTGTTCATTTGGTTCCGCTTTTGTTTATTAAATGTAAAATATATTATCTAAATTGACTGTTATTATAGCACTGAAAAAGGTGTTTTTATAAATAAATTTGTTTACTTCGTATTTATTATTACTTAACATTTTTTTTCTTTAGAAATAAAGCGAAAATACGAATTTTATGCTTCCTAATATTTGTGAATCTCATTTAGTTATGATTTGCATGATTACACGAAATTTGATTACACGTCATGCCTTCACGCGGAATGTTATGGTGTCAGTCATATGTATAATCCCCCTCTGTGCGTACAGGGATTAGCATGGTGCAGTAATGCCGACGTTCCGATGGATTTTAGCATTAGGTGGGTTGGGTTAGTCGTAACCAGATTTGCAAGTTAATAATGAATTATTGTACCGTGAATTTCGGGTCAGCCAGCAATAGAATTGCGTCCGACTATCCGCCGGCGGCTATGTTACTACTCGGACGTGCGCTTTGGGACTAATAAAAACGGCTCATTCAAATTTACATTGAGGCAAATATTATTTATGAAATGGTTGCATTAAATAACTGCATTAAATAGCGCTGTTTCTCTACTCTCTTCATACATTACAGATATAGATTTGGTTACATATATCTTTAGCACAGCTTCATTTCACATTAATCTAATCTGGTATCTATTTAGTACACACGATTAGATCATTTATGTCCCAGGCATTGTTTTTCTTTGAAATATTAGAAGCAAGATAATGTCAAGTGGCATCTTAATCTCCCTGTTCAGTAACTCTTAATGACAAAGTCGGTGTCTTCATATTATCTTTGTGCAGTTTTTTTTATTATACATATATATATATATATATATATATATATATATATATATAAAATCTGTGCAACAAATACGATATTGTTACTGTCGTTAAGAATTACAGAATAAAAGTTTTAATAATGTCTTAATAATGTTTTTTTAATGTCAACAAGATGTCATTAAAATGTTTTTTTGCTACTTGGATGACTGAACTTTTTAAAGATGTTAAAGTATATGTAAGATTAATAATATTGCATACTTGTAAAAGTAATGAAAATTAATCTGAAACACGAATAACTCATCGTGTATGGTAAAGGACCGGAAAATTATCATGTATATTAGGAAGTTAAAATCAGCTGTTATATATATTCAGAGCTGTAGCAGCTACACGCATTCGATCGCATTCAAAGTTATGAGATGAGTTTGTTTCAGCAGAGGTTTAACGCGATGATTACTTACCAGCAAAGTACGCCAGCATCGCTGTCAGCGCCACAGCCAGGAGGATCAGAGCGATCGAGAAGCATTTCCAAGAGCACCTGTGCTGACAACGTTTGTCGATGTGAAAGCGCGATGGTGAATACGGAGAATAGTGCGGCACCGCTGCGGCACGAAGCGGAAAACCTGGCATCACCATGGCTTGGCCTTGCGCGCCTACCGTGGCGGTACCGCCATTTCCGGCACCGCCTAAACCACCACCTAAAGAACCCACCGTCACCTGCTGTTGCGGTGGCGGAAGTCTAAAACAACAAGAAATAACCCTTGTTAGGATACTGTCTATAGAAAATCATTAAACGTACGCAATAATATACGTACATACGTATATTAAATCATGCAGGATTATATTTAACGTATCTACACTGAAAGAAAAGATTGGCTGCTGCAGCTACGTTAAATGTAATCTTTAAAAATGTTATGCTATATTTTACCATCTAATTTGCAGCCAATCTTTTCTTTTAGTGTATTACAGTAATACGGAAAGAACAATTTTGTTGAAATAGATATCTATAAAAATTTAAGCTAGATACAGATCTGAAAATAATGTTTAAGCTATTAAAATAATTATTAGAACACTCAACTGGTTGTTACAATGTTGAAACTTTTTGCTCCATCGTCATTAACGCTTAAGTACATACTTGTACATAAATTTTTAATGATCCAATAAAATTATTTTTAGATCTAGCTAAATTTTAAGATAGATGTTAGATTTCAGCAAAACCGTTCTTTCCGCAAATAAATCATTTAGATTCGAAGTGAAAATTTAACGATTAGTATAATCTGTGAAATTTTAACCATAATTGGTTTTAACCATAATTTATATATCCGATAGAAATAAGATACTTTAAGTGTTTTTCACATAATTGTAGTTAAGAAATAAATTAAGACGCTCAGATTACTTCGATGACTCGATCGTCGTGATTAATAATTGTAATAACTGTAAATCAAATGATCGACTATGATGACAAATTGTCCATGCGATTGCAAATCAGAACGGAGTCAACGTCGATCAGTATCTCTAATGTGTCTCGCTTACTGCTGATTATTAGTTAAATTCATGCCGATACTCATCGGCGTATCGATGCGTCGAGGTAATAAATGGGAGAGTTGACTGCAACATACTCCAAAGCGGGTCGCTTGATCCGACGTCACTCCGAGGGCGATAAATCGACGACCGGTATCTGTTTGGTGCACGTGTGCCAAACGGAGGTGGCGATCGCGTCGTGGTACGTACATAGACCGGAGAGCATCGGTGGTGCACGTCCGGGGATGCAGATAACGCCGAGCTTATAAAAGATGCAGATGCTACCATTAAGCCCTACATGGCAGGCTGCGTGTGCGTGAGTATATCGCCCGCACGAGACGCACGAAACCCATGGGCTTTCCGAAAATGACATTCGCGGGGGTGACGAGGTCGAGGCCCTACCCGTCGAACCCGTGTCAAGGATTTTATTTTCATCATCGACGATATTTATCTTCGTCCCCTCATCGAGGATAAGCGTGGCCATAGCCGACCGGATGAAAGGCCAACATCGAAACAGGGATTTAATATGGTGCCCAGGATAAATATAGTTTTCCGATAATCATGCGGACTCATGAATAGCATTATGTGCGCGTCGCGGCTGAAATCCCGTAAGAATAACTCAATTGACAGTACGTCTCTGGTAGGGATGAGAGATAAGGGGGAAGGGCAAAAGGAGAGTACTGAAGCGACCAGAAAAAGGAAACAAGCGGGAACTTAACAATGCGGCGCGGCACCAATATTGGATTTTCCGCTTAAAAATTCACGTAGTATAAAGCCTGAACACGAGGCGTGGTTGCTCGAATCGAATACTTACGAAAAATCTCTTTCGAGTTGGTTTTACGTCGGGTTCGACGGGAAAGCAGTCAGAACGTTGGATTTAATCCGGAACTTATCGCCTTAAGGTAACGTTTCACTTTCACGGGATGTAAGTGATTTAAAGTGGTTTAAAAAAAGATATTTTCTTGAAGTAAAAACTCATACACGATATATCGTTCGTGAAACATATTTTGCACTTTTCTAAAAAATATTGAAACAGTCGAATAGTCTTCATTTACAGAAGAATTAATTCGATCAAATTGTCCAAATATTTCTATAGTTTTCTCTTTTTTCATAATTTTAAATATGAACATTTTGAAAATAATCTTTCAGTTGTGTGGAATAAATTTTTTTTCTTCAAAAGACGTATTTATTAAGTGTTTGCAAAAGTTCGTGGAATTACCGTTAAATGTTACTAGAATTTGTAAAACTTTTTAATTATATATTATGTCACAATTTATTGAATGCTATTATAATATAAACTATATTTCTTGGCTATTAAATTGTTCGATGCCTAATAAAGTACATTCATGATGCTCGTTGTTTATTTATAACAAGAAGCAGAACAACGTTGAAGCCATAAAAATTTAAATTTAATGTAAAACTTTGGATGAATCTGTTGTTGCTAAAAGTTTATGCCATAAGTGGTTCCAATAATTTAAGACGGTCTATTCTAATGATATTAAATTTAATAAAAATCGAAAGCATCTATTAAATATTAAATTTGATAACCAAGGAATACAGATGATATAATGCAGGGCAACATTATATAATAATATATAACTAAAGAAGGTAATAGTAAATTCTAGTAATATGTAACGATTCACAAACTTTTACAAATATTTAATAATAATTCAAATGTTATTTCAGTTTGGAATATTTTTCATCTCTTTAAATCCAAAAAGATTTGTCAAAAAATGATAGATGTCATGAAAGAAATGTCTAAAGATAAACCGAGACAGATATCTTGCAAAGTTCACAGAAATGATCGTTTTCGTCTCTCATGAAGGAATCGTTGAAATGTGTCGTGTGCCACGTGTAATTTATAAGTTGCTTAACAAACCCAGTCCGATCATAAATAATCACACTTAGATCTCGACGCTTTGCAATTCTATAAATGTCCGCTCATATTTTCTGAAGCAGGAAGCAATCAGACACGACGTAAAAAAAATATCACTGGCAAAAGTCCCGGGCGTTCTTACGCGGCAACGTAGAAAAAAAGACGATACGCGAAGGAATTCCGCGTAATAAATATTACTTTTTCCTTGGTATCATTAACTTAGAAACGGAGCAAGCACCGTAAAATTAATTTACTAAAAGTATCGGTGTGCTCAACGTCCGACAAAAATTGGGGAGGAAAAAACTTAATGACAAAATAATGAGAATTTTTTTCTAAGCTGGAAGATAGCCAAAGATAGTCTTACTTCATCTCTCCGAATTATCCGCGCAGTGGACATGCTTCAAATATAATTCAATTGCAGAGAAGATTTAATAAAAATATACAACTTTGAATGCACGCTGATTGTTTCTAATTTGTGCATAACTTTTTATCTACGATATACAACCATCTAATTAATTTAAAGATAAATTTTCTGAAAACATCAGCAAAATCGATGGTTTACTGTAAAATGGTTTTATCTAATAAACATTTCTGTATTCCTGTATTATTAATATTAATAATATTTGCTTTGAAGCTCTTGTTATTACTATTATTAATTGTTATTGATTAAATTAATTTAACAGAATTATTTTGTCCGTTTTACGCATTAATTAACTCTTATGATTAATTTATAACGGTTCGCGATTACTTCCGTATTCCGCTAGACTTTCCGAATTGAAACTCCAGAAGTTTTTTCTGGGAAATAAATAAATCTAACTCCCTGGCTGGGCTCTAAGAGCCTCCGGACAGATGTACGGCGCTCCAGTCAGGACAACCGGATTCTTGATTGCACGTAACAGACAAATGAAGCGAGGGGAGTGGCTGAAAACAAGATAAACGACGAAAAAGGAGAGATAGCAAAGTCGGGGATGCACTGCGGAAGAACGGAGTAAGCAGCAATTCGGCGTGTTCACGCCGTAGCCCCTCCAAGCCGGGTTAATCCATTTGTGCGAGTAAATCGGTTAGCTGGAATTGGGTTATATTTCCTAATCGATACGATGGATTAAGTTACCGGTTGGTTCGTCCTCTGGCTCGTCGGTCACGATGCACGGCTCTTTCCTCGCTAATTATCGTTAGTAGCGCTGAAGGGAACGTGAGAGAAATATAAGTTTCTGCCGAAGCTTCAGTTAAAGATTACAGTGCTATCGTAGTTGTATCAAATATCACAGTTGAATACAAATGACATTTCTAATTATAAAAAAAAGTACTGCTATGCGATATTGACAGTATGTATGTTTTTTTAATCTAATATTTAGTTTAGTGAGAATTTACAAAATTACGAAAATTACGAATTTACAAAAGTACGAGATTACCGAGATTACTAGGCAGAAGAGAAATTGCAAATTTCGAATCCTCTTGCCTTTGATTCGAACAGTTTGCGATTTTTCTTGTGACAGCTTAATCTAACTCAGGGACGTAAGCGTAAAGCTAAAGCGAGAAGTTGCCGCGGCACGACTTTCGGGAAGGAAGTTCGAAAACGTGCGGATGCTCCTTTAACCAATGTAAAAGTAGGTCGAGGAGCGCCGAGTTTGATCGTCAGCAACCTGGGCGGATTACGCAGTCCCGCTGTGAAGTTAGGATGTTCCTGATCTAAGTTAAGTCGTAGTCCGGTCACGAAAGGACCCACCGTCGCTTTAAGCAGGTAGTTTCTCTAACCGGGCGACAACGATGGTGGTGGACGTGGATTGTATGAACGTGTACAAAACACCTCCACCGATTAAACCAATTGGACGCCTGTCTGATATATTGGAAGTTAAAGAGGTAATTGCGAGCGGCGTTGCTGCCACATATTGAGTTGAGTGTCGTCTGAGTGGAAGATTGGACTGTTTCAGCTGCGCGAGCTGAGGATAGAATCGAGCGTGTGATCCAATTATGATGTAACGCATGTTCCATCGCAGGAACGATTGGCAGCGACGAGTGCCGCAATTCCTGCACCATTTCAAGCTTCGAAAGTTTCCCTGTGTCGTGAGTTCTTATTGATTTAACAAATGATAGGATGGTCTTTGAAAGTGGAAAACACGTGAAGATCAATAATATTAAATACTAAACAACAATATGAAATCATTCCATTCTTTTTTCATTCTTGATTAACTTAATAAAATACAACATATATTGATTACAATTATTTATTTTTAATTTTATTCAAATTATTTTA